CTTCTGTTCATCTGAACATGAGGAGAAATGAAGCTCTTACCCACAGCGGTCATTCAAACAGAGAAATTAAGTCACGTAGTGACAGAGAAATATCACATTAAATAACGACATACACACTTTGTGTACAGGCTAAACACTAACATACTAAAGTCTCTGTTGTATTCTGGAAATAGCCTCATAATAAACCACAACAGCCCGTTTTTATAAGCGACTCTCTTAAACAAATGCAACGCAGCGTCGCTAATAACAAGCGGACATGGCAACACCGGTTTCACCGATTCATACTAACCGAATTAACCAGCCCACCAATACAGCCTGTATGTCAAGGCCTTAAACAGGCTAACTCGAGCTAACGTGCTTGTCAGTCTTCTGCTAAAAATAGTGAACACTTGATTAACCCGTCATTGTCACATGAAGGACATTTAAATGAGAGCCTGGAGTCTAAAACGATTCACCATCACGGCGCTGCGCCATATTATTATTACAAGGACTGAGGCCTGTCAGAAACGCCACCTCACCGCTTCTTTCTGCCCGTAACCCCTAAAAAACACGTCGGTTGACCCTCCCTCTTTGTGCTGGGCGTTATAGCCGCGAGTTCACGGCCGTGTCAGTCTCTCAGCTCACCTCGGAACCTCAGCTCGTGCTGCGGTTCTAGAAGCAGGACCTGCTCTGGCCTGGCCATCTCCCACTGCGCTTCAAACGCGTCGACTGCTGCGCTGGCGTCCGCTGGAACTGACGGCGACGGGCTTGACGGTTGAGGCTGTCGATGAGGACTTCTGTTACATTTATTGAAATAAAAACTCCACAAGGCAGTGGAAATAGCTAAAAGTCCCAAACCTTCCAGACGTCTATGAAATGCCAGTTTCAATGAAACATTATGTGTTTTCACAAAAATCCAAAAGTAAGTAATTTTACCACATCATTATAATAATTATATCCATGTCAGGTGGAACTATGAACCATGGCAGTAAAATAATAGTACAAGGGTCAAATCTTCTCACTGGTGCCGGAGACTTCCTGACTGGAAGCAGCTTCAAGGTAGGTATCAGTGTTGCCAGATTTTGCAAGAAAAAAATATGCTACCAGTTCTGATAAAATAAGACAAAAATAATCAACTTGCTTCACCAAAAGAAGCGGCCCAGATGTTCTTGCTTAAGATAGGAACTATTTCTCCTTCTGTTCATCTGAACATGAGGAGAAATGAAGCTCTTACCCACAGCGGTCATTCAAACAGAGAAATTAAGTCACGTAGTGACAGAGAAATATCACATTAAATAACGACATACACACTTTGTGTACAGGCTAAACACTAACATACTAAAGTCTCTGTTGTATTCTGGAAATAGCCTCATAATAAACCACAACAGCCCGTTTTTATAAGCGACTCTCTTAAACAAATGCAACGCAGCGTCGCTAATAACAAGCGGACATGGCAACACCGGTTTCACCGATTCATACTAACCGAATTAACCAGCCCACCAATACAGCCTGTATGTCAAGGCCTTAAACAGGCTAACTCGAGCTAACGTGCTTGTCAGTCTTCTGCTAAAAATAGTGAACACTTGATTAACCCGTCATTGTCACATGAAGGACATTTAAATGAGAGCCTGGAGTCTAAAACGATTCACCATTACGGCGCTGCGCCATATTATTATTACAAGGACTGAGGCCTGTCAGAAACGCCACCTCACCGCTTCTTTCTGCCCGTAACCCCTAAAAAACACGTCGGTTGACCCTCCCTCTTTGTGCTGGGCGTTATAGCCGCGAGTTCACGGCCGTGTCAGTCTCTCAGCTCACCTCGGAACCTCAGCTCGTGCTGCGGTTCTAGAAGCAGGACCTGCTCTGGCCTGGCCATCTCCCACTGCGCTTCAAACGCGTCGACTGCTGCGCTGGCGTCCGCTGGAACTGACGGCGACGGGCTTGACGGTTGAGGCTGTCGATGAGGACTTCTGTTACATTTATTGAAATAAAAACTCCACAAGGCAGTGGAAATAGCACAGTGTTACCCGATCCACTAGCGACTGTTGTGATGCAGCAGGAAGGGACTGTGGGAGAGCGAGAGGCTGGCCGTGACGTCACTGCCCCTGCAGTATGCACGGAGTAGTGGCGACGGATGTGAGGAGAAGGGTGTAGACTGAGGGTGTGGGTGGTCTTCATGGGTCATCTGTCTTCATCTTCAACCATGTTATGGTACATTTACAGTGGTATTTTCACATGTGTGTACATGCAATGACCTCTAAAGAAAATGATACTATTTTGCAGTTTTATAATTAAAATGTTTTTTTTTTTTTAATTATATTAATATATATATGAGATGATATTAGGTTATATATTAACAAAAAGGTATAATGTTAATAACAGGTAAACTGTTTTAATAAATAATATAATATAATTTAGGGCTAATATAATATAATACTGCTATAATACATAATATAATATAACGAAGACATTAGAAAATATATATTTTTCAATGTCTTAAATATAAGGGACATCAAAAATAAAATAAATATATGAATAGAAAATCTAACATAATAATATATATAAAATATTATTTATGTATTTTTTCATAATTATTTCAAATCGATTGACCTTATATTTAAGATACATGAAATATTTGTACCTCAAAAAGGTATTTGACACAGCAAAACGTTTAACTGAAAATAGTGAAATACTTTTTAAATGATATACTTACAATATATATATAATTATAGAATTTTTATTATATTAATAATATAACATTCACACACATATTTACCGTTATAATTATATTAATTTAATTAAAACACATTGTAATAATAATGATTGGCACAGCAAAAAAGTTTAAAGGTAAATAAAAATACATTTTTAAAAGAAATCTTCATTTTATCAGTGAACTACCCCAAAAAAAAGGCTATATTTATGCCAACTGCCAATGCTCTGATACATGTATGATATGTAGATTTTAGAATGTGTTTTTAGATTTTGCTTAATCAAGAAATGCTTAATCATAATGTACCGGTTGCACACAAATAATAATGTTAGAGGAGAAAATCTAAGTCTGTTCCTCAAATGCAGTGAAGTAATGCAACTGAATATATGGGAATCTAAGAATTAACATGAATGACTTAATCCTCAGCCAAGTTTCTGGATCACATTTTACTTGCATCTAGTTGAATTAGGTGAGATAATTTATGCTCAGTTTGGCAGTTGAACACAAGCTCTAAGAGGGTCGTTTTACTTTCCTCAGCACAATTAAAGGTTCAGCAGGGACCCCTGCCAAAGGAGACACATACCACAAGTGTCATATTTATATATATAGCCCATCAGTTTAGGAGGAACTATCACCTGCTCCAAACAGATTCTCAATCCCTCTAAACTGCAGGCAGACATTTGCACCATCTTTTTTTTATTTGTAACTAAAACTAGAATAATCAGTAGTAACTTGTCCCAGATCACAAACCAATAAAGTTGTACGTTGATTACATAACACAAAAAAATGAAAACAGATTTTGTATAATTTTATTACTAATAAAAAGCTCAACATTTCCCTTTTGCACATTCACAAATAAAATGTTATTTTCAAGCCTTCATTGTATGTCAAAATAATACAAGAGAAAAGCTAAATAGCAAGAACACTTAATGATTGGGTTAAATTACTTTTGTATATACGGAATTACAATGGTAAGTATGACATTGAAAGACTACATATCAATTAATTTACACAATTCATCTATGTGCTATATACAAGGACGTTAAGTACGTAAGCAGAATTTCACAACTTTCTTAGGGTCAGCCCAAGACTGTTGGCATTGTTCTTCAACCTAAACACCACTGCAAACCACACCACACAGCGTTTCACACTGTCTCTGACTCAAGTGTAGCATGTAGTTCCCCTCAAAGGCATTAATGCAAAGCCTGTGCTCCCTAGCAAGAGGAAAACATTTCAGCAAGTCCTTTTCAATTGGCTAAGAAATCTAGAACTTAAACTGGACTAAATGAGACGTTTGGTCTCGCTGTGGATCACAGGCTTTGTACAAGACAAAAAACAGCTATTCTACAACATTTAGAGTAATGCATTTCCATACATTGTAAAGGCCCTTCAGTGAGTTTAATTACACGTGACATTAGTTGAACTGTTTCCTTCTCCAATTAGTTTGACATGACAGAAAGAAAATAAAAAAGTTTAAGATTCTGGTTTGAGTGCAAGATAGTTTTACTTTGCCGTAAGGTATATTACAGACACTGGAAGAATCAATTTGAATGTTGTTCTCTGTGTAAACATCAATAGAAACCGCTTAGGACTGTAATTTTTCCAAGTTGTTTCAACTAGGGCAAGAAAGACACACAGCAATTCTGAAAAAGTGCAATTTTATCCCTTAAGAATTGTTCCAAGTAATCCCTTTTTTCCCATTTAACAATCACTGTCTTCTAAAGGAAAATATTGTGTTAAAATTCATGGATTAACTACAATTACTGTAATAAGTCTATAAATCTCTCAGCTATTATTACTGACAGCACACATTTTGGAGGGGAAAAGTATTATTATTGCACTTGTGAATTCCTGAAAACATTACGGTGCATTGGCATCACTGCATATAAAATCACAGGATAAATGACGGCAAAAGAAACGCAAGACTTTGACGGTGCCCATAATATTCATTCTGATTCACTAAACACTCCTATATGCCAATATTATGTGTCAAAAGCATATGCGATAATATATGTGACACATTTTTAAAGTACCATCATAAGACAAATTACAGAAGCCACATACTAATTTCTAAAAACAACAGAGATGGTGTCATGTGTTATACTGATGTGCATGTACACTCTTAAAAATAAAGGTGCTTCACGATGCCATAGAAGAACCTTTTTGTCTATAAAGAACCTTTAACATAATATATAACTTCATAAACTCATCTCGAAATAGGGCTTCTGGCCAAGGCTCAGACATCTCTTGCTAAATCCCAGAGTTATCTTCATTTATATTTTTAGTACTACCACTGATTTTAGTTTTTTCCATATACAAAATATAGGAAAGACAGAAATTGCTCACAACCTCATGTCTGGTCCTGCGTAACAGAAATACAAACATTTATTGATACTTATAATAGTAAATTTGTGTTTGAGTAAACCTCACGAAAACATGTCCGTGTCATTTTACCCTCATAATCACAATAAAAAAGGAGAGATAATGAGGACTATTTTTAAGAGCATTTTGTTAAATTTCTTTTAGGACAATTAAGCACACTTTCATACTGTATTTCTGTATTTATCATTAATGTAATACAGCTATATTAGTTACTGTTTTACAGTTGAAATTAATTTTATACTGTTACACAATGAAAAACATCTTAATAGTCCTAAGAATGTACTTTACCTTCACTTTATGTCAAATATAATTTCCTATTTTTCCACTTGATTTGACTGATATGAGACCTGATTATGACAGCTTTCATGAGATTCACCCATTCACACTTTTTTTTTATCATATACATCAAAAATGTGCAAAAATAGTGGGACAAGAACGCTGTGTTGCTTGCATTAGGAGTGCTGAAAATCTTAAAATGTACAGACGGACAGACAACAGCTTCACTCAGAAACTTCATAGAGTTTTGCAGAGGTTGTTGCACAGAGATGAGAATGAACGAGAGAGAAAGAGAGCAAGACAGGACAGTATCTGATCTGTTAAGCAGGTGTTTGTGATCTAGAACAGAAATGGATCCCCAAAGACATTTGAACGGGGGGCTGAAGAACAGGCAAGATAAGGTACAACGATTATATGAGGGCATTTTCATCTTTTCTCAAGGAAGTGCATCAGGATTCAGACTATATATCTCATTCCATTCTTAACTGAACTTCTTTTTTGGCTCCAAAAGGAAGTTACGTAACTTCCCCTATGACATCACATTCTTCATCTGCTATTATCCTTGGTTACTAATCAAAAATAAAACAAGAGGCTGGAGAGGATCTGGCCAAATTGTTTACGGTTGCGTCAACAGCAAGTGCGTTCCCTGGTCGACTCTGATGGTTGGCGACGAAGTTTGAAGCCCTTGACTGCAGACCCGCCATCCGCGTCTATAATTGGGATCCTTTGACCTGTAAAGGAAACCAAATAAAAATTAAAATGAGAAATAAAAAAAACGACTTGCTGTTTCAGTTTCTGCACAAAAGTCACAAGCACAGTATCATGCACCCGCATGTTCCTCAATAGGGCCGCTGCCAAGCTCCATGGTAAAAGATCTGTATCCACTGTAACTCATCCACTGCCCCGGGTCCAAGTGGCAAGAACAAGTATCCACCGAAGCACTATTCTCACCACCATCAGGATCAATTATAGATCATGCATTCATTATCATTTTAATAATAGATTGTGTTGCAATAAACAGCATTTATTAAAACTAAACCAGCCTGATTAAGAAGCACAATCAAGGGAAGACAATAACATCTAAAATCACAGGGGTCTAAATTTCTACAGCCTTGTCAATTACATACCACACAGATGAATAGTTAGTTAGGCTTTTACTCACTTATCTGAATGAAGATCTCATTGATGTTAATGGCATTTTTGGCACTGGTTTCTACAAATATGGCATGAATGGAGTCAGCGTAGTCCTTGGCGTCCTTCTCTGACACCTCTCTGGAAAACAAAAGGACAGAGCAGCAGAAAAAAATAGGTGAAATAAAAGAGTGGAGTTAATAAATAAATAAATAAATAAATAAGAGTAGTAGCTTATTTTACAACACTTATACCACACTAACTGGTCATCAGTTTCATAAATGAACAAATCGAACATGTTTAAAACTCTCAACGACACTTCTAAACTGACACCGAACATGTGTGGGAGATTATCTGAGTGGGCAGAACCTTGTAAAACTCATGTATTTTTTTGTGACGGTGGTGTTTAACTAGTACACGGCAGCGTGTAGGAGGTAAACTATTGTGTGCTGGTTCTCTGTGCACCTGTCACCTGATCACAGGTGCTGATCAGATTGCACCCGTACACGTTTCAGGCCAGTCACACTGACAACGGATCAATTTTCCATTGACGCTTCACGCTTCGCTCTCTCTTAGATCAACTGCCCAGCTGGTGAGGTTTTCGCTCTAAACTGACACCGAACATGTGTGGGAGATTATCTGAGTGGGCAGAACCTTGTAAAACTCATGTATTTTTTTGTGACGGTGGTGTTTAACTAGTACACGGCAGCGTGTAGGAGGTAAACTATTGTGTGCTGGTTCTCTGTGCACCTGTCACCTGATCACAGGTGCTGATCAGATTGCACCCGTACACGTTTCAGGCCAGTCACACTGACAACGGATCAATTTTCCATTGACGCTTCACGCTTCGCTCTCTCTTAGATCAACTGCCCAGCTGGTGAGGTTTTCGCTAAACATTTCGATTAACTTGAGTTTTGTTGGTTGTTTGTGCAAAAGTCCCTGCCACCTTGCTAGGGTGATTGTGGTAACTAGGGTAATGCTACAGTTTGTGATCGCTAGTGTGTTCGGAGTGGCTGTCTACTAAGCATAAATATACGTGGGGTCCTTCAATGCAGGCTTATGGGATTTGTGCCAACAAAATCACACATCCAATAAAATATTGGTTAATGGTTTGTTAATAGCGAGAATTGGACCTTAAAATAAAGTTGCCTTTTTTAGCTATGCTTTTAATAGAGTATACTTTTAAGTTTAAATAGTATTCAGATTTCTAAGTTGGGGTAATGTTATCAGTAACTGTATTTTCATGATGACAGATTTTTTACCTCTTAAACTTGGATCAAAAAATGTATAGAAACAATCAAATCAATGTTTAAAAGTGAAGTAAATGATGGCAGTGGATCACTGAGAACAGGACCAGTTGTGCCAGAAAACGAAATATCTAAGCTTCATGTGCCAGACAGAACAATTGCAAGAATTTTCCCTGATATTTATTGCCTGAATGGCTTGCGGTGCGATCGCTATTCCTCAGATTCGATGTCTCGGTCTTTATGGTTTCGAAAAGTAAAATACAACCGCACTGACAGTCGACTAACACTGCCAAAGAAAGCAATGGTGAACCAAGACATATCATTGGACCTGTGGGAAGAGTGAAGCAATTTAAAGTGGAAAGATAAATTACAGACCGCTGAAGAGTGGATTTCTTTTTCATCACAAGTTATGCTTATGGTAATGGTACGTGTGTGAGCTTGTTTTCAATGAGTCGAGACAAGTTGACAGCAAATATGCAGGTCTTTTCCCAACGTCAAATTGAGCTGACAGCCACCGCGGGTGCATCCCTTCAAGCTGAATAGATATGACAGGATGCAGAGTCTTTTGTGGCAAGGAACGGTGGAATTCACCTGGCATCGGAGAGATCGCATTTGTTGCCAGTGATAGCCACCACTATGTTGGGTGGTCCGTGCTGGCGAAGCTCCTTCACCCAGTTCTTCAACGTCTGGAATGATTCCTGAGTGAAAGATGGGGAGATCTTTAAGACAAGCACAAGACTGCTACATCATAAGACTTTAAGGTCATTATCTACTGACCCTCATGTTGCTCAAAACCTGCGTGGTAACAGTTCTTCCGTTGAACACAAAAGGAGTTACCTAGCAGACTGTCCAAGCTGCTCTTTTCCATTAATTGAACGTGAATGCAAACTAGCGGCTGTGAAGCACCATAAAATTAGTCTGTATGACTTGTGCATGACATATCATGTCTTCAAAAGCCATATGATAGCCTTGTGTGAGGAACAGACTGACATTTAACCCACTACTCACTGAAAGTCTTACCTCAGCCCATAACTCCTTTAGTGTTCCATGGAAAAAAAAAAGATCTTGTGTAGTTCAGGCGACATGAAGTTGAGTAGACGATGACAGAACTTTCATTTTTGGGTGAACTATCCCTTTAATGGCTTTACCAGCAGAAAGATTTGTGTAGTAATAATGAAGAAATACCGTACACGTTTCAGGCCAGTCACACTGACAACGGATCAATTTTCCATTGACGCTTCACGCTTCGCTCTCTCTTAGATCAACTGCCCAGCTGGTGATGTTTTCTCTAAACATTTCGATTAACTTGAGTTTTGTTGGTTGTTTGTGCAAAAGTCCCTGGCACCTTGCTAGGGTGATTGTGGTAACTAGGGTAATGCTACAGTTTGTGATCGCTAGTGTGTTCGGAGTGGTTGTCTACTAAGCATAAATATACGTGGGGTCCTTCAATGCAGGCTTATGGGATTTGTGCCAACAAAATCACACATCCAATAAAATATTGGTTAATGGTTTGTTAATAGCGAGAATTGGACCTTAAAATAAAGTTGCCTTTTTTAGCTATGCTTTTAATAGAGTATACTTTTAAGTTTAAATAGTATTCAGATTTCTAAGTTGGGGTAATGTTATCAGTAACTGTATTTTCATGATGACAGATTTTTTACCTCTTAAACTTGGATCAAAAAATGTATAGAAACAATCAAATCAATGTTTAAAAGTGAAGTAAATGATGGCAGTGGATCACTGAGAACAGGACCAGTTGTGCCAGAAAACGAAATATCTAAGCTTCATGTGCCAGACAGAACAATTGCAAGAATTTTCCCTGATATTTATTGCCTGAATGGCTTGCGGTGCGATCGCTATTCCTCAGATTCGATGTCTCGGTCTTTATGGTTTCGAAAAGTAAAATACAACCGCACTGACAGTCGACTAACACTGCCAAAGAAAGCAATGGTGAACCAAGACATATCATTGGACCTGTGGGAAGAGTGAAGCAATTTAAAGTGGAAAGATAAATTACAGACCGCTGAAGAGTGGATTTCTTTTTCATCACAAGTTATGCTTATGGTAATGGTACGTGTGTGAGCTTGTTTTCAATGAGTCGAGACAAGTTGACAGCAAATATGCAGGTCTTTTCCCAACGTCAAATTGAGCTGACAGCCACCGCGGGTGCATCCCTTCAAGCTGAATAGATATGACAGGATGCAGAGTCTTTTGTGGCAAGGAACGGTGGAATTCACCTGGCATCGGAGAGATCGCATTTGTTGCCAGTGATAGCCACCACTATGTTGGGTGGTCCGTGCTGGCGAAGCTCCTTCACCCAGTTCTTCAACGTCTGGAATGATTCCTGAGTGAAAGATGGGGAGATCTTTAAGACAAGCACAAGACTGCTACATCATAAGACTTTAAGGTCATTATCTACTGACCCTCATGTTGCTCAAAACCTGCGTGGTAACAGTTCTTCCGTTGAACACAAAAGGAGTTACCTAGCAGACTGTCCAAGCTGCTCTTTTCCATTAATTGAACGTGAATGCAAACTAGCGGCTGTGAAGCACCATAAAATTAGTCTGTATGACTTGTGCATGACATATCATGTCTTCAAAAGCCATATGATAGCCTTGTGTGAGGAACAGACTGACATTTAACCCACTACTCACTGAAAGTCTTACCTCAGCCCATAACTCCTTTAGTGTTCCATGGAAAAAAAAAAGATCTTGTGTAGTTCAGGCGACATGAAGTTGAGTAGACGATGACAGAACTTTCATTTTTGGGTGAACTATCCCTTTAATGGCTTTACCAGCAGAAAGATTTGTGTAGTAATAATGAAGAAATATTTCAGTACCTCTTTAGTGATGTCATACACAATGATAGCCGCAGCAGAGCCTCTGTAGTACATAGGAGCCAGGGCACGAAACTAAGAGCGAAACAGATAACAGAGAAAATTATGGCCTGTACTTAAAAAATAAAAAAGGTTTAATCATCACTGATAACATCCCAACATCCCTTCTCAGGGGCCGAGCGGATGATCTCAACCTGCGTATGCTTATTATCAGAGCTTTGAAAGAATTTGTTCGCTTTGGCGGAGGTCTCCTTCGAGTCTCATGCAGAATTAAATGGACAACTAAAACACAAACAAACGCATGTTATTCCAACTTGCCATTCAAACAGAACTCTAGGCGGCGGTTAGGGAAAACCACGGTGAAAAACTCTAGACGTGAGCCACTGTTAAAACCTAAAGGAGAATTGTGTTTCAGAAGGCCATGCCAAGGGGGCTTGAGTTGAGGAACTGCATGGAAAGGCGTATCAACACATGTGGGAGCCATCAGGGGAAAGATGAGTGCGACGTGTCAGAAGAAGTTAGCATTTAATCATTATAAAATAGCGTAGTTGGGTTGTTCGACCCCGGTCATCAAAAATAGACCAAAAAGGCGCTGATTAATAAAAACAAGCTGAATCCAGTATGCCATTCCTCTGAAAAAAAAGAGCTAAAAGTGCATTAGAAAGTGAATGATTAAGAGAGAGACAGGGTAGGGAAAGTAGACATGGCAAGAAGCCTTGGCAGTTTAGTTTTTTACATACTTTCTTAAATTTAGGTGTGAGCTAGCCTGAGAAATAGTCTTCAAATCAAATACACAGTTTAGAAATGTATTTTTTTAGCCAAAGTTATAGTTTTGGCAAATTACTGAGATCTTTACAATTAACAGTTATGAGCTGCAAATTGGGGTACAGTAATATATTTGTGCTCATTAACGGAATGTTTTATGAACTGCTGGTTTTCATCAATAAAAGTGAATAAAGCAATATGCGTGAACATACATACATTTTCAAATAATATCTAAAACCAATTGGAACTTGTTCTTAACTGGTTTTGCTGATCAATGCATCAGTACTAAGTGAGATCACTTGAGATAACATTTATTAATAACTATTCTACAGATTCCTTTGACACCATTCAAAGTTTATTATTTAATTCATGAAAACGCTGTATAAATCTAATATAAATTGGATTTAATTTAAGAAAACAGGTCGGAGCTCTGCTTAATCCATCTTTTTCGCCAATAAAATGAATAAATCAAGTTTGACTGACACGGTTTCTCACATTTATAGCTGTTTTTGGCAAAGTTCGCTGCACAAAGACGAGGAAATGCTTCAGTTTAGATTCTGACTAAAATTGCAGGATGTCTCCTCAGACATATCCCAGGATTCCAGACTGTGTGGTCCCTCTCCAACTCTACTCCTGCATTTCTCTCATCCAACTTCCTCCAGTCACTACCTCTTCAAATTACTCTTGCCATTAAGTCGATTTGTCGGTTTTAAAGACCTCATGAAATCGCTTTGCTAGCTATATGCAATTTTTATTTCTGCCTATATCTAATGGAAATAAGTTTCTGAAAAATGTTTTTAAAAGAAGACTCCTGTGCTCAACCAAGGCTGCATTTATTTGATCAAAGATTGTTACAATTGAAAATAAATTTCTATTTCAATATATTTTGAAATGTCATTTATTCCTGTGATCAAAGCTGAATTTCCAGCATCATTACTCCAGTCTTCAGTGTCACATGCTCCTTTAGAAATCAGACTAATATGCCAATTTGCAGCTCAGGAAATGTCTTTATTTCTTATTATTATTATCAATGTTGAAAACAGTCGTGCTTCTTAATATTTCTGTGCAAACCATAATGCGTTTTCCCCCAGGATTCTTCATTGAACAGAAAGTTCAAATGAACAGCATTTACTTGAAATTTTTTGTAACAATGTAAAGTCTTTTCTGTCACTTTTGATCAATTTAATGCACCCACAAAACCACTAAAGCAAAAACCAAAGAATACAAAACAAGCCATGTTTCTATAATGCTGTTCTAAAAAGCAATGTGTCGGATAATTATCTAATCAAGCACTTGACAGCCAGTGAAAAGCCTGATCACAGCTCCCACTGGAGCATAAGAATCTGTGGACAAAACTGTCTTCTCTTCTCAAAATCACAATAGAGCTTGAAGTTCGAAAAAAAAGAAGAAAGACACTAAGAGGGAGGAAGGGAGAGAGAGAGAGAGAGAGAGAGATTCTGGCATTTATTCGGCCTCTTCTAAAAACCACTATCTCTGACATGGCCTAGCATTTCATCCTATCAGGCTCTGGAGCATCCCAAACAAAGCAAAGCAAAGAAAACCTGACCTCTTTTACAACTCAAAGGCCATGATGATGAACTTGCACCATATTTACCGGTGGGAATACATCAAAGCGCTAAACAGGACCAGATGAGGGTAAAGAGGCTAGATAAGTCAGACTTTCCCTTATGCTCATTCTTTCATATGGAGTGGGATCCAAACATTCAAGACCAATACTTCTATTTTGCATTTTTCTAATTTAATACCATTTTTATATACATAAATTATATTACCATCAAAACAATTTAAGTGAAAATTGTGAATATAAGGCCATGTCTATCTTTTGAACAAAGGATGTAACAAATCCCACTAATTATGTTACATTTGACCTAAAAATAGTGCAAACCATTTATTTTCCAGTTAAGTTTCTAAGTTTTAAATTCATCATAATCCAAAACTTTTTATTTTCCTGCTTTACATGTAAAAAAAAGTCCTAGATCTTCGATGTAGTTGCATAAAAAGAGACGAGCAATTCCTTAACACTTGGTATGGTACTATTCTTTCTAGCAGCTTGTGTGAGCCGCTTGGCATTCTACATTTAGCATCACATAACATCACAGACAAAACATAAGAGGAGATCATATTCCAAACAGCCTCAAGACCGCCGTCAAATCATGAGCGGTGATAATCATTTCAAACTATGCAATGTCCCCCATACACTTCAGCTGTCTTGCCTAACGTAGTAGAGTGTTTTGGGAGAGAAGAGTGTAAAGATATAGAGCGTATAGAGATACATGAAGAAGACCAGCCCCCTTCCAATATCATTATTAAGCCCTCTCTCTCTCAAATACATGCGTGCATACAAGAGAAGTGCATGCAATACTGCCCCCTGTCTGAAGTGCAAAGACACTGCAAAAACAGAAGTGAAACAGTAAACATTGTATTTAATGGCTGTCAGTTTGTGTGTATCACCTCAGTGTGTGTACTAATTGTTACTGTTTACCCTTTCTTGTCCTGCTGTGTCCCAGATGAGGAATTTGTGAAGCTCGTTTTGGTACTGCACAGTCTTCGTCATAAATGATGCTCTGAAAAAAAATTGGCACGAGCAATAATAACATTAGGCATACAAATACAAATAGATAGGTTGGCATGGAATCTGAGACATCTGCTGATCTTGTTTATTAAATGTTTCAGAAATTTTTACAATGCATTTATTTGCCAATAAGTCTCTCAGCTTTGTTTAATATATTCTACATAAGTCGCTGGGGTATATTTGTAGAAATAGCCAAAAAAAACATTGTATGGGTCAAAATTATCGATTTTTCTTTTATGCCAAAAATCATTAGGATATTAAGTAAAGATCATGTTCCATGAATATATTTTGTACATTTCCTACCATAAATATATAAAAACTTAATTTTTGATTAGTAATATGCATTGCTAAGAACTTAATTTGGACAACTTTAAAGGCGATTTTCTCAATATTTTGATTTTTTTGCACCCTCAGATTCCAGATTTTCAAATAGTTGTATCTTAACAAACCATACATCAACGGAAACCTAATTTATTCAGCTTTCATATCATGTATAAATCTCCATTTCAAATTTTGTGGTCCAGGGTCACAAATCTGAATGACTAGCCTGACTGGGACAGCAGAAAAAAACTTTATTGTTGAGCCCTGAAATGTGTGTCAATTGGATTCACACTTATGTAACTCAATTAAAATGGGTCACACAGTTTAAATCTTTAACACACTGTGATGGAACATGTATTATACAATCAATGCTGTATATTAAATCACTTAACGCAATGTGAATCTCTATTACATTCAGACTTATCAGCACCAACAGGTCAGCTAGTGTAACTAGTTCCAGATGCTGATTTACATTTTTTTTTCTTAAAGGGATAGTTCACCCAAAAATGAAAATTTTATGTTTATCTGCTTACCCCCAGGGCATCCAAGATGTAGGTGACTTTGTTTCTTCAGTAGAATGCATTTGATGATTTTTAACTTTAACCGTTGCAGTCTATCAGTCGTATAACGCATGGCAATGAAACTAAATCTATGAGAGTAAAAAAAACATGCACAGACAAATCCAAATTAAACCCTGCGGCTCGTTACGACACATTGATGTCCTAAGACACGAAACGATCGGTTTGTGCCAGAAACCGAACAGTATTTATATAATTTTTTTACTTTAATACACCACTATGTCCAACTGTCTTTGGGCACGTGCAGGCATCCGGTGCGTGAGGTGTGTACGCGCTCTGGCGTAGTTTACGCAAGCGCCGGAAGTGATCTCTCGCGCGTATACGTCATTGTAGGTACGACGGCTAATCAAAATGGTACTTACTTGCGCTTATCTGGATTGTTCAAACAGACTTAACTAAAAGATTATGTTCTCTCGCGTGAACTCATTCGGGAGTGGTGACTTTCCACGGATTCCCAACTTCTGAGCCTGCTCGCCTGAAGTTATGGTTGATTGCTCTTCGACAACACACCCATTAACGTAAACTACGCCAGAGCGCATACACACCTCATGCACCGGATGCCGTGCGCGAGCCCAAAGACAGTTGGACATAGTGGTGTATTAGAGGTAAAATATGATATGTTTATGAATATGTTTCTGGCACAAACCGATCGTTTCGTGTCTTAGGACATCAATGTGTCGTCACGAGCCGCAGGGTTTAATTTGGATTTGTCTGTGCATGTTTTTTTTACTGTCATCGATTTTGTTACCATTGCCATGCATTATACGACTGATAGACTGCAACGGTTAAAGTTAAAAATCATCATATGTGTTCTACTGAAGAAACAAAGTCACCTACATCTTGGATGCCCTGGGGGTAAGCAGATAAACATCACATTTTCATTTTTGGGTGAACTATCCCTTTAAGATATTGAATTATTATTACTAAGATTATATGTTTTAATAATAATAAATCAAGTTGTTTTTTGATACAGTGCTTTCTGACACTAATCCTCAGGAAATTTCAACACACTATGTATCAATTTTGTTTGCTTCAAACAGCTTCCATTTCAGTGCATGTCGCCACTTGCTGTGTTTGCTATGTGCCAATTCTTCAGAATTGCACGTTAGAAATCAGAAAAACCTGCATCACAGTTTGCTTGACCTCATTGTGAGTGTGCTTTGCAGTTTGCTTACCCAATTGTGGGATTAATGTTGGGATCAAAACTATCCTCCACAAACCTCCACACGATACTTGATTTTCCAACCCCTGTATCCTAAGACACAATATCAAAATCAGTAACAAAATACACAAACCTATTAAACTAATTATATACACACACATATATATGTATATATATATATATATATATATATATATATATATATATATATCGAACATAGGTAATATAATTTGTCTTATTGTCTTATTTTTCATTTCTTTGATGTGTTTTTCCAACTTCAAGATGTTAGTTAAAAATGCAAAATCTGTGTTTTGTACAAAGTTTTTGTCAAAAGTTTGGAATATAAGGTCAAAAACGCATGTAAAATAAACCAAACGATATCATTAGAAAAAATGGCTTCAGATTTGGTATAAAATGTAAAATTGTGCCATATGAAATCCTTATGCCAGAAGATTTGATTTGGCAACACTACCTGACCTATATAAATATATCCAATGTATGTACTGAACAAAATGTAACTTCTCAAACTCTCTAGACATTTATCATCCACATCTGAATGGGTGGTTAAATACGTCACCAGCCCAGAAATATTACTGTAACATTTTAAAAGAGATTATCAAAGCTTGCACAATAGGCAAAACCACTGGCACACTTTATTGCTATTTATAGCATGCAATAACATTTATGACAGAGCATTAACATAGTGATAAAACATTAAATACGCACCCAAACTGCAATCCATGTCAAGTCATAAAAAGCGAATAGAAATCTTACCCCAAGAAGGCATACTTTCAACTCTCTTAGCGACATGTTGACCTCCAAAATAATGAAAACTTCTCAATCATTCCAAACAGTTTCATAAAGCTGATCAGCAACTATTTCTATTTGACGTAAGCTAAAAAACAACAACACACACAATCTCTCTCTAGACACTGTAATGTCAGATATCCACTGCTTTAGGACGGTATAAGAAGCTGTTTTGAAATACTGACATAACAAGTATAGCTTATAATAGTATCAGGACTTGGATGTTATATTAATGGTCGATTAGTTGCGATATTAGCTGCTCGCTGATCGCCATCTTGAACTCCGGTTGACGAGTCTAGTTATGGGAAGTCATTCATGCGAATCGGTTCTTTCGAACAGTTTGTTTCATCGTTTCAGCAAAGTAACTAATTGCGTCATCTCGTGCTTCCTAACGAATAACACGCATAAAAATAAAGCAATTAAGGCTGTTTATTATGTTTATTATTATCCAAAGTGTTATTGTAATTTCAATTAAATTTATGATAATGGATAACTGAGTTTACAGAACACTTCAGCAACTCAAAGATTAAAATATCTCTCTAGGTGAATATATGAATAATACAAATTAAGCACATTCACCCCTCAAATAATTAGTGTTATAATGCAAAGAATGCAATTTTTTAATTTTAAATACATGATATAGTATGTTTTAAATCAATTATATGATAATAAGAGAATTACCACTGAGAATAATGGAAATAATAATATTTTAAAAAAAGTGGCAATCCGGATTCAGCCCTTAAAAACGCTTTATAACCTAAATTTGCATTTACTAACACAACACTAAGTTCAAAGCGTGGCTGTTCGTGAAAGAATCATTCAGTCCAGTTTTATGAACCGGTTCTATTGATTCACTGAAAAGATCCGACTCTACATAAACAATTCATATATATATATATATATATATATATATATATATATATATATCGAACATAGGTAATATAATTTGTCTTATTAACACTTTTTTCATTTCTTTGATGTGTTTTTCCAACTTCAAGATGTTAGTTAAAAATGCAAAATCTGTGTTTTGTACAAAGTTTTTGTCAAAAGTTTGGAATATAAGGTCAAAAACGCATGTAAAATAAACCAAACGATATCATTAGAAAAAATGGCTTCAGATTTGGTATAAAATGTAAAATTGTGCCATATGAAATCCTTATGCCAGAAGATTTGATTTGGCAACACTACCTGACCTATATAAATATATCCAATGTATGTACTGAACAAAATGTAACTTCTCAAACTCTCTAGACATTTATCATCCACATCTGAATGGGTGGTTAAATACGTCACCAGCCCAGAAATATTACTGTAACATTTTAAAAGAGATTATCAAAGCTTGCACAATAGGCAAAACCACTGGCACACTTTATTGCTATTTATAGCATGCAATAACATTTATGACAGAGCATTAACATAGTGATAAAACATTAAATACGCACCCAAACTGCAATCCATGTCAAGTCATAAAAAGCGAATAGAAATCTTACCCCAAGAAGGCATACTTTCAACTCTCTTAGCGACATGTTGACCTCCAAAATAATGAAAACTTCTCAATCATTCCAAACAGTTTCATAAAGCTGATCAGCAACTATTTCTATTTGACGTAAGCTAAAAAACAACAACACACACAATCTCTCTCTAGACACTGTAATGTCAGATATCCACTGCTTTAGGACGGTATAAGAAGCTGTTTTGAAATACTGACATAACAAGTATAGCTTATAATAGTATCAGGACTTGGATGTTATATTAATGGTCGATTAGTTGCGATATTAGCTGCTCGCTGATCGCCATCTTGAACTCCGGTTGACGAGTCTAGTTATGGGAAGTCATTCATGCGAATCGGTTCTTTCGAACAGTTCGTTTCATCGTTTCAGCAAAGTAACTAATTGCGTCATCTCGTGCTTCCTAACGAATAACACGCATAAAAATAAAGCAATTAAGGCTGTTTATTATGTTTATTATTATCCAAAGTGTTATTGTAATTTCAATTAAATTTATGATAATGGATAACTGAGTTTACAGAACACTTCAGCAACTCAAAGATTAAAATATCTCTCTAATCGTTTCAGCAAAGTAACTAATTGCGTCATCTCGTGCTTCCTAACGAATAACACGCATAAAAATAAAGCAATTAAGGCTGTTTATTATGTTTATTATTATCCAAATTTCAATTAAATTTATGATAATGGATAACTGAGTTTACAGAACACTTCAGCAACTCAAAGATTAAAATATCTCTCTAGGTGAATATATGAATAATACAAATTAAGCACATTCACCCCTCAAATAATTAGTGTTATAATGCAAAGAATGCAATTTTTTAATTTTAAATACATGATATAGTATGTTTTAAATCAATTATATGATAATAAGAGAATTACCACTGAGAATAATGGAAATAATAATATTTTAAAAAAAGTGGCAATCCGGATTCAGCCCTTAAAAACGCTTTATAACCTAAATTTGCATTTACTAACACAACACTAAGTTCAAAGCGTGGCTGTTCGTGAAAGAATCATTCAGTCCAGTTTTATGAACCGGTTCTATTGATTCACTGAAAAGATCCGACTCTACATAAACAATTCATTCACGATTCGGACGTCGCTAGACTAGTCACGTGATCGACATTGTCTTATTTTTTTCTCATCGAGTGTTCGGTTGAGCGAAACGAATAATTGCGGTATTTCCACGCGTAAAAGTGTTTTGTTTCGATGAGTTTATGTTTGTTTTTTAAGTATTTGATATTCATATAGATGCCGGGATTGAAATAAGAGCAGGAAATCTTTTGAGGAAGTGGAGTGACAGCAGCCCCGCTGTAAATCAAGATGGCAGGTAATGTGCTTTAGTGCATTTATTTAAAGCTTTATGAGGCGGTTTAAAGAGAATCGGCTCCGTTATCACTGTTGACTTACATGACGCGTAATGCCTTTTCAATTTTTCTGCTGTATTTTAGACGAAAGGTCATGAGCCTGGTGAATTTTAAGTGGATTAACACTAGTTGCGAGTTGTGTGGAGCTAGCAGGACAGACCGGGATATTAAAAAAGTACTGTGATAAAGAACTGCTTTGGGCCAACACAATCATTTATGTTGTATTAAATACTTTAGGGTGGAAATTATGTAGTACATATAAGTAAATAATGAAGATAACGTAGCTGAGCTGACAAGAGCTTGACAGTCAGTTTGTTAGCAAACCTGACCGGGGTCGATAACGCATAACACGTTTAGTTAACTGGTCACCTTTTAAAATGTATTTCTAAATTGTCATAACTCAAGAACTGTTTGTATGTTATTGCACACTACGATATAAAAGCTGTTTGACAGACATCTTCGCCTAGTAAGCAGGTTATGTGATGTCGGCAAACCTGAGTTGACATATACGTGAGATAAAAGCTAGCCTAACACTACGATACATGCCAAGGCTGTGTGTCAAAACCTAGTGAGCAGTCTACCTAAGCAGCACTTGCACTGAACGTTCTTGCAATGAAAAGACCATAATTGCTGTCTAGTGAGGTTGCGAGTCGCAGCCGAACTTCATGTGTCACAGCAGCATGGCTTGAACCTGTCAGCTTATCTACTAGACACTTGTCGGTCTTTGAGCTTCAGTTTATGGTTTATGTTTCCTCAGGTCTGTCTTTGTATTTTGAAGATGGTCATGATGATTTAGATGACTGTGAGTATGCAGAACTCTTCAGCAACTTTACAAATGTGGTGAATCTTATAATACCTCTCAAGAACATGTCCAAGTCATGTGTGTGTGTGTGTGTGTGTGTGTGTGTGTATATATATATATATATATATGTGTACTGTAAGATAATTGCCATTAAAAAAAACAACTAATTCATAGTTTAATTAAAAATTAGCTTAATTGTCAAGATGTTCTCACAACAAAAATATCTTAATGGACCTAAAATATGCAATTTTTGCAAGTTTAATATGTACCTGACCATGCTTTTAAGATTTTCCCCATTATTTTAACTCTATATCGTTGAAGTCAGTGCGATCTTTGCTGGCAGAAGCGGTTTGCATGTAATGGAATCTCTTTAACTGTTCTTGCTGTAAAGTAAACAATTTCTCATTAAGCAAATTCCCTCTACTCTGTGTCACTCTGAATTTCTTTTAATAAGATTCCTAGTTTGAATTGAAAAGATCTCACATTTGATACCACCCGGCCGTACTAGCAAACTCAACATTAATTTATACTCTGCCATTAACTGTTCATATGAATCTGTCTTGCAGTTGGATTCGATGACTATGGTTCAGAGTGTGATGGGATTCGGATAACAGCATTCCTGGATGCAGGCCAGGATAATCTCACCCCTCTGGGCCGGCTGGAGAAATATGCTTTCAGTGAAAACGTCTTCAACAGGTGAGATGTTAAAGCGTGTGGTCTGCAGTATAAAACGAATAACTATCAGACATGGTATGTGAGATGGATTTCAGGCTGTTTTTTTTTTCCTGAAATGCAATACTCAGTGTTTCTTAGGAGTGGTATAAGATTTTATATGTCCATCTTGTAACTATCACTCGAAAATAAGTGAGATTTGATACAGAAAATATGAGGATAACTTTTTTTATGGCACAATGGTGGAACATAATTTAAAAAGTTTAATGGCTTAAAGCGAACCTGATATGATGTTGGACCAGAAATACTTAGTAAGGAGCCAAACTTGTCATCGTAGAAGAACTTGGCTTAGACGGAACGTTTCTTGGGTGATATCTGATATTTTGGCTTGGAAACATTATAAACATTAATCTGTTAAAAAAGTAATTTTTTTACTTTTTCATTAAAAAAAAAATAGTTTTGTGCATCTAAATTGCAAAGGCCCATGTGACGTGGACTGTTTTGGTGTGCTTGATACGTTTGATGTTTATTTTCAGGCAAATTGTGGCTCGTGGATTGCTGGATGTGCTCCGGGAGTTCAGCGATAATGAAAATGACTTCATCAGCGTCATGGAAACAGTTGCCAGAATGTCTGAGGATGGAGGTTTGTATGACTTTTGACTGTATTTGACTTGTTCAAAATGGCTAAACTGTATGTAATATTGTGAATGTAACGTGATGTTACAGAACCGACAGTGCGAGCAGAGCTGATGGAACAGGTACCAAACATTGCCATGTTCCTTCATGAAAATCGGCCCAATTTCCCTGAAGCCTTCTCACGGTATCTGGTACCCATTGTGGTCCGGTATCTCACAGACCCTAATAACCAGGTGAGCTATACTTTGAAAAACTGCCTGTTCTTTGAATCGTTTATCTGAATGGGTAATGATGACAAATATTTTTGTGTAGGGATGAGTTTAAAGGAGTTAAATTAGTCAGCCAATAAACTACTAGCACTAGTAAAGAAATCAATAACAAAAAAATATATGTTTAAATGTATAATATAGATTTTTTTAACATTTAAAATGATTTCAAATAATTGTAATTATTTAATTATAATTAGAAATATATTATTTAAAGGGGTCATATGATGCTTTTTAAAGATCATTATTTTGTGTATTTGGTGTAACAGAATATGTTGACATGCTTTAATGTTCAATTTTGTGAAGTATTTGTTGTTTAGCCTATTGGTTTGTTAAATGTCACTTCCATGTTTGGCGTCCATACTTAAGAAATGCATATGATCAGTATTAGGTGTTGTATTGATCCTGAAGCCTTATTCAGGGTTTCTTAAACACCAACTAATAATTTAGTCGTTCAGAGAACCCACTGAGTCAATTTTGTCTGTGCTTTTTCCTGTAGGTGCGAAAGACAAGCCA